CAGCTCACTTCCTGTTGCCTGTGCAAGATGTAGAACTCTCAGCTACCTCTCCAGCACCATCTGCCCACACACATAATGGACTGAACTTCTGAACTGTAAACCACCCCAATTAAATGTTTTCCTTTATAAGAGTTGCTGTGGTCATGGTGTCTCTTCACAGCAATAGAAACCCTAACTAAGACACCAGGTATCTTGGTTTCCTTCCTGTTGCTGTAATAAACACCATGGTCAAATCAGTTTAGAAGAGGAAAGGGTCTATTTGGTTACATTTCTAGTTAACAGACCATCTTTGAAGGAAGTCAGACAGGAAGTGAAGGCATGAACCTGGAAACAGAGGTTGTGGGGATCACTGTTTACCAGTGTCCTGTAGCTTCTGCTCAGCTACCTTCTTATATAATCCCACCCAGGATGATACTGCCCACAGTGGACTGGACCCTTCCACATCATCAATGAAAACAGTTCCTTACCATATGTGTAATCCCAGCATTCTGGAGGCTGAGGCAGGACAGCTGTTGTAACTCAAGGTCAGCCTGAATACATAGTGATTCGAGGCTAACCTAGGTTAAGGGTTAAACCTTGTCTTAAGTTGAAAGAAAAAAAAGATAGTCAGAAATTACTCATACCATATCTGAGATTAATTGTGTATAAAAGTCCACTTATTTTCTTAAAATAAGCTACAGATATTTATGGCAGCTATTGAAACATTATTGTGGCCTTTATCTTAAAAAATGAATCTGAATATTAGAAAACTAATTTGATTTGGATTTACAAAATGTCCATTATATTTGAAACTAGAGTTAATTCTCAAAATGAACAAGGACTGAATCAATATGAATTTTGTCTTTGTGTGTGTGTGTGTGTGTGTGTGATATGTTGTTTGCATATGTGTATATATGTGTGCTTCCATGTATGGCCAGAGGTTGATACCAGGATGTCTTCCTCAATAACATGCTACTTTGTTTTTTGAAATAGATTCTCTCACTGTGCCTAGAGCTCACCATTTCAGCCAAAATGGGTGGCCAGTGACCCTCCTGTCTGACCTCCCCACTTGGCTGTTTTCAGCTTTTATGTAGGTTCTGGGGATCTGAATGCAGGTCCTCGCTCTACCCCCTTAGCCATCTTCCCAGCCCCAATGTAAACTTTTAAAATATAATTTTCCTGATGAAACCACATAATAAATTACAAATCTTCTTTTCCCTTTTGACTGTCACTGCTGCTGTGTGTTAAGGGCCTGTGTGTTAAGATCCTCAGCCTACGGGGCTACTGTGAAGTGTTAGGGTCTTCGAAAGGCCTGTGGGAGGTGACTGAGGGCGTGGTCGGGCCTCCGAAAGGCCTGTGGGAGGTGACTGAGGGTGTGGTCAGGCCTCCGAAAGGCCTGTGGGAGGTGACTGAGGGCGTGGTCAGGCCTCCGAAAGGCCTGTGGGAGGTGACTGAGGGCGTGGTCAGGCCTCCGAAAGGCCTGTGGGAGGTGACTGAGGGCGTGGTCGGGCCTCCGAAAGGCCTGTGGGAGGTGACTGAGGGCGTGGTCAGGCCTCCGAAAGGCCTGTGGGAGGTGACTGAGGGCGTGGTCAGGCCTCTGGAAAGGCCTGTGGGAGGTGACTGAGGGCAAACCCCTCTCCAGCAGGTGTGAGGACCCTGGTCCCTTCTTGGTTCTTGTACTTTTTCCTCCCCGTACAACAGTGGTTCTAAACTGTGGGTTGCGACCCCTTTGGGGGTCAAAGGACCCTTTCGCAGGGGTCATCCAAGACTATCCTGCACATCGTATGAACCTACGTTATGATTCATAACAGTAGCAAAGTTACAGCTATGAAGTAACAGTGAAAATAGTCTTATGGTTGGGGATCATCACAACATGAGGAGCTGTCTTTTTTTGTTTTGTTTTGTTTTGTTTTTGTTTTTGTCTTGAGGAACTGTCTCAAAGGATCGAAGCTTTAGGAAGGTTGAGAACCACACCGCTCTACAAGTGAACAGTTTGACTCCTCCCTCAGGATTCTGTTGTGATATACTGCCACAGGCTGGAAGCAGCACAGCCGACTAGTCACGGATTGAACAAAACCTCTGAAAAGGTAAGACTAACCCTTTCTCTTCGTAACTTGGTTGTTGCAGGCATTTTTGTTTGTTCACCGAGTGTAAAGCTAGCAAAATCACTTTTGGAAAAGCACTATAGGGGTTCATTTGTTTCACAGGCTTCTGTTAATACTTTGGTATCGGAAAACATTCTCTTGAGTTTGGAGTATCCCTCAGGGGTAGAACACGTGCTTAGCATGTGTCAAGGCCCTGGATCCAATCCAAAGGGAGAGGAGAGGACACAAAAGTCACTGTGACTTTTCAGCAGGAGCCTTCTTTGGTTTCTTTCAGTTGTTCACTGAGGTAGTGCTTCTAACGTCATTTATCATATAAAACTCATCGTTGTCTCTCTCTCTCTCTTTTTTTTTTTTTTTGGTTTTTCAAGACAGGGTTTCTCTGTATCGTCTTGGAAACTGTCCTGGAACTCGCTTTGTAGACCAGGCTGGCCTCGAACTCACAGAGATCCACCTACCTGCCTCTGCCTCCTGAGTGCTGGGATTAAAGGCGTGGGCCACCAACGCCCAGCTCGTTGTCTCTTTTTTGTCAGTATCTCTGCATACATACACACATACACACACACACACACACACACACACACACGCACGCACGCACGCACGCACACACTTTTATAGGACTAGTGCCCTTTAAGAGACTGTGCTGGAATTTACGGTATACTTTTAGAGGTTTACAAGGTTAATGAATCAACCAGAGATGAAGCAGCAAACACTAGGGGCCAATATTCTGCACAATGCATGCTAATTTTCCAAGTGGTCAGTACACTGGTAGCTTTGCGCCTGCTCCCGTGACTTGGGTCCTTCGTGCAACACCAGAGGGGGTCTCACATACTTGGATGCAGAGGACCCGTGGCCCCTCACTCTGCTGTCCTTCAGACCATCTACCCACTGGACTGTTGTCTCTCATCACCTCCCTTCTGCTCTGTCCCTTCTTGTCCTAATTACACCCTGAAACTGACCTCACAGATGTGAAGTGTACACACACTTTCAGGAGTCCCTTGAGGCTGTCTCAAATTTAACACATTAAACATGTCAGGACATTTAAAGTTTATAATTTTGGTTAGAACTGTAGTTCCAGGTCAAATATGTGTTTTTAAGAGCAAATAACATGGTCCTTAATAAACCTTTTCAATAACACGGTGAAATCTTTTTTATGCTTGTCAACAACAACAAGAATGATCCATGTTAGAACCTTTTACTTTTAAGAATATGAACACGGCTATTAACGTATAAATTAAGAAAAGAAAATACTTTTAGATGTTTATGCTCAAGCATTTCTATTTATGCCTGGTTAACACTGATTTATTTTATCTTATTTTTTTAATCTTACAAATGAAATAGTTTCAGGCATGAGAAAACTCCAAACCATTGTTAGAAAGATGAATTGAGCAATATTTTCACTTTAGAACTTCAAACTGTGACTTTGTAATAAACTTTCATTTACCAAGTCTTGAGTTTTCTGATAACTTTCTCTAGAAACATGTACAAAACAAACAACTTATTTTCCTCTTGGCTCTTTTTAAAGAAGTTTTTACTAAGTTGAGGGTGTAAGTTTCAGAATATAATAGACACTGCCAAATTCTGTAATTCCTTTTACAAAAATGTCATACAGGGTGTGGTATGTTTAGGGAATTTTTTTAAAGTTGTAATTCCTGGTGAGGGTTTTTGTTTTGTTTTGTTTTGTTTTCTGCCCCTCCTTTTTAAAAACAATGCTAAGGCAGGGAGGGGCTAGAGAGATGGTTCAGCAATTAAGAGTTCTAGCAACTCCTCCAGAGGACTAGGGTTCAATTCCCTGCACCCACAACCGGCTGTAACTCTGGTTCCAGGAGATCTGATGCCCTCTTCTATCCTTTCTAAACACTGCACACACATGGAGCACAGATAAACATGCAGGCAAAAACACCCATACACGTAAAACAAATATTTTAAAATTACTTAAAATGCTAAGGCAATCTAAACTCTGGAAGGGGCTTTCTAATGATTAGACTATTGCTTGTAGTTGGTTGTTTGCTGACTTACCACTGCAAATTCACAATCAGAAATTAAGTCTTTAAAAAATATTTATGGCCGGGCGGTGGTGGCGCACGCCTTTAATCCCAGCACTCGGGAGGCAGAGGCAGGCGGATCTCTGTGAGTTCGAGGCCGGGCTGGACCGATAGCCTCCGAAACAATACAGAGAAACCCTGTCTCGTAAAAACCAAAAAAATAAAAATAAAAAAATAAAAAATATTTATGTGTGTGTGAGTGCACGTGTGCGCCCACAGAGGCCGGAAGAGGCTGTTAAATCTCAGATAGCTGAAGTTTCAGGCGATTGTGCACAGCCTTACATGGATGCTGGGAACCGAACTTGGGTCCTTTGAAAGAGCAGCAAACACTCTTAAAGTCTGAGCTGTTCCTTCAGTCCCAGAGCTGGGGTCTTGATAAGTACTGCGGCTGACTTTTTTTTTCCTACCAAGGTGAAAAATAATTTAAAAGGAACAACACTGACGAAGCCTCAAGGTTAAGTTTATCTCCCATAAGCGTCGAGTCCATTCTCTTGTTGGTGATGTACCACAATAAAGGTATGAAACTTTTCTGTCATTAAGTAAAGCCTCAATGCCACTAGGCCAGAACTGTTCTCCTCCAAAGTGTGTAAATATTTTAACTCATCAATAAAGTTTCCCTTTCCAGCCGTTGGGGTAACTCTTCAAATAGCGGAGATGCCCGCAGAGAAACACCATTTTCAGAACCTAACGTGGGTGGTGAGATGAGGAGGCCGGACACTTAATGACAGTTCACTCACAAATCGCTTGCTTGGAAACGCATGCTGAAATCTGCCCACAAAACTGCGCCTCTAGCCATTGTGCACTCCCGTGAACACAGTCTCTGGCATGTGTGTGTATTTAAAGCCAGAGTGAGGGCTGGAGCAGGAGGTCCACTGTGGAAGGATCTCTTTACTTGTCCCTTTGGGCTGCAGTTCCAAGAAGACAAAGGAGAAGGGGGCTTCCCCAGCAGGCCCGCTGCGTTTTACTTAAAAGCAAGCTGGGGGCAACCCCTCACCCCCACCCCCGAGAGCCAAGGCTGGCCCTGGGTACCGCTGGCGGGGCTCCCTTCCCCCGCGGCCGCCCCGGGGGACAAGCCGCGGCCCCTCCCGCCGGAGAACAAACGGGACATTCAGCCGCCGCCCGCGGCTGCCAGGGAGCGTCCCCCGGGGAAATTAGGCGTGGAGTCGGCGGCGATCGCCTTCAAAAGCGGCCCTCCCGCCGTCCGCGGCGCACTTGGTACCTGGCTGCGGGCTCCGAGCGGGATGCCTCAGTGAGCTGCCGGCCATGGGGGGCGCGAGCGCCTGCGTCCCGCTCTGCCTGCTGCTGGCCGCCGCGCCGCTGGCCTGGCCGCAGACCCCAGAGAGGTAACGCCCGCCCGTCCCTTCCCCGCACCCCTGATCCCGCACCTCGCTACCGCCGGCTGCCCTGCTCCGCCGGACGCTGGCGCTGCGGCCCCCGGGCCACCACGTGGCGCGGCTCACTCTCCCTTGCCTCGCCGCCTCCCCGCGGCTTGTGTGCTGGTGCAGGGTTCACTAGCGCTCGAATGTGCTCCCTCCTCTTCCCAGCTCTTTTCTTCCCAGCGTTGGCCAATCTAGGGCGAACCCAGGGAGCCGCTCTTTTAAGTGAATCCTCACTAACTTCCGAGGCAGAGGCACCTACAGGATGGTTAACTCCCGCATCACCTCCAGCCTCCTCTGTCTCCCTATTTCCTGGGCGCGGGGAGGGGCGCACTGAGAAACCTAAGTTTCCCGAAACGGGGAGAAAACAAGGTCTGTCTCCAAATCTGGGAACTTACAAACTTTATATTTACCATGGCTTTTAAACCATGTGGCTCTCCCAGAGTGGCCCTCACCACCTCTCCCACTCTCTCCAGTTAAATCATTCAATTTTTACTCAACCCCCTTGAGTGGAATATTTTCATATATGCACATGAAAGACCTATCTTAAGTTAATGATGAATTTAGGCAAGTTATCGGGCTATGATTTGAATATTCTAAGAACTGGCAAGCTTTCAGATTTTTTATCTGGTGCAAGATTTTTTTAACGATATCAACTTGTTCATATCACCTAGTACACTTTTTTTAAATCCACTTTAGATTGCTAGACTGTGTTTCAATTTAAGTGTTCTCTCTTATTTTCCCAGACCTGTTTTCACATGTGGCGGCATTCTTACCGGAGAGTCTGGATTTGTTGGCAGTGAAGGTTTTCCTGGAATGTACCCTCCGAATAGCAAATGTACTTGGAAAATCACAGTAAGCACTTATTTTAAAGGTGTTCTTCTGGATGTGGGTACTGGAAAGAGTGCACACTGGTGCCCTTCCCCCTGGTGTCAGGCTTTGGGTTAATCGTGGATGCCTGAGAATGTGAAATGTTGCATTTACTTCCTTTGGAGGTTTTATTAAGAGAGTGGTGGTGTCCTGCAATAGTGATTAGACAGGGCTCGGGATGATGGTTGAAGAAGAAACCCTTCAAGCCGATGTTTCTGAATTAGTTTTATGGATTCATGATTAAGGCTGTTTCCAGTTAGAAGAGGACCTTTGAAAGTTAGATGCTGTTCATGCCTGCATAAATCCCTCCTGGGAAATAAAAGATCAAAGTAGTTTTGACTGCTCTACACAGAGGAGAAAAGGAAAAACAGTTACCAACCATCCTTGCTGCCATTTATTGTCCCTCTTAGGAACCACCACTAAGGCAAGCTAAGAATGTTTTAAGTACTGGGATGTGCCAAGTGATTAACAAGCGTCTCACTGAGTCCACAGAACCTTTCTGATCATTGTTGTCCCGTTTTATAGACGGCAAAGCTGAGACCTAACAGAATTAGATAGAGACATTGACTTGATAAGCCCGACTTTACCTGCTGTGCAGCGACTATTGGCAGGCGGAATCGGGAGGAGGACCCCTCCATAGAATAAAACTTGGCTTTTTAAAATTTCAGTGACGGGGTACAGACTTCATTACGTTGTTACAGCACATGGAGCTAGGGGAGAAGACGTTCCAGAAGCAGCTTTGAAACAGTGATATTAATAGATGTGAAATAAGGCTGGGCGACAAATGTAAAATGACTTAGTTTATTTTGTAGTTGTGTTTTCATTGTGACTCAGTGGTTTCGTGTTCAGAATGATCCAAGAGGCATCATGTGCCTAAGACAAAATTCATGTTGGCTGTGTATTTGGGGGCTATACCAGTCATGTTGCTGTGCCATCCGACACTAATGAGGGAGGGGTATCCAGAGGAGATTTCTGGATCAGGGAGGGCTTTGCCTCAGAGAAGGTGCAGTTCCCACCCCAATAAAGACCCGTAGGTGGTGCGGAGGGTGGGGGTGGGGTGTTAAGGGGTGGGGTGGTGGGGTGGGCATGGGGTGTTAAGGGGTGGGGTAGGGAAGAGGTTTAATTGCCTTAAGAACAACTCAAGGAAGCCTGTGTAGCTGCAACAGAGCGAACAAAGAACATAGTCTGGAGAGAGGTGAGAAAACGGAAACCGGAGGACCATGGGTTTGAAGCCAACCCAAGAGCCTGAGTAATGAGTCTCAGACTTAAAAAGGTGGGGGGGGGGTGCGGTGCGGTTAGGATGCTGTTAAGGATCCAGGAGAGGATGGAATGAACGGAGGAGTAACAACAAAGATGAAGGGTGGCACCTCCTGCCCTCAGGTGTTTCATAGGTAGATGGACATGCAGCCAGGGTGTAGCGTCACCAACTGAGAGGTCCCTGTGCCAGCTTGTCCCCTTTGTGGCTCCTGTCCTAGACAGAGGTGACCTCTGCTAGGACTTTACCCAAGGCAGTCTAGGAAGACTTTCCCAAAGCCAGATGTATTAGACAGGGTTCTCTATCTCTAGGGGTACAGAACCAATAGTGGTATGTGAGTGTGTGTGTGCTTGTGTGTGTGTGTGTGTGTGAGAGACTTGGTGTGTATGACTCTGTGTGTATGACTCTGTGTGTATCTCTGTGTGTGTCCATGTGTCTCTGTGTGTGTGTGTCTGTGCTAAAAGCGGATCTATTAGACTGGTTTGTACCATGGGGTTTGGGGAGTCGCCCAATGCCTGTCAGCACAATGCAGAGGCAAACAAACTAATAACTCAGTAACCACTCAGTCAATTAAACTGGGTACCTCAGCATCTCCATCTGGTGCTGAAAGCCTGGACGCTCCCTGGAGAGCCGCTGGTGTGGAAAGCTGAGGAAACCAGGGTGTGATGTCAGTGTAGGATGAGGACAGACACACAGGCTCCACAAGAAGAGAAAGCAGGATCATTCATACTGCTGTTTCCTCAAACCTCTTTCTATGTGGGGTGCCTAGGAGATGGTATCAGCCTCAGTCAGTCCTCTCTGAAAGACATAAAACAACAACCCTCCTCTCACAAGAAACCCAAAGGACCTAGAACCTCATAGACACACCTGTCACATCAATTGATCCAGTTCAGTTTTCTGCTCCTGCAGTCAGAAAAACAAGAACGGAGTTCCACTGGAACTCAATATTGCATCTTAGCATATACATTATATGTTATTACACTATGTTAGTGGTTATGTGTGTGTATGTGGGCTTACATGCACATGCGTGCAAGTTGAAGCCAGGCTTTGACATCTAGTGTTTTCTTCAATGCTTCTCTACCTTATTTTGTGAGACAGTGTCTCTCACTGAACCCTTATCCCACCCATTGACTGGACTGGCCAGCAAGCCCCAGGGATTATCCTCTCTCTCCTCCACAGCTACTGTCATCCTCCACTAGCATCAGACTTTACATTTCCCTCCCATCCCAACCTTTCCCACTCAAGATGTGCTCATCAAGGTGGATTTCACCACCAGATGGTTTTCATGGAACTGTTTTTTTTTTTTTGGGGGGGGGTTTTGGTTTTTCGAGACAGGGTTTATCTGTGGCTTTGGAGGCTGTCCTGGAACTCGCTTGGTAGTCCAGGCTGGTCTCGAACTCACAGAGATTCGCCTGCCTCCCGAGTGCTGGGATTAAAGGCGTGCGCCACCAACGCCCGGCTCATGGAACTGTTTTATCAGTGGGAAAATGAAGTAAGTCTGATGCATGGCTTTAAAATTGTCACAACCAAACGTTTTAGCCCATTGTCTTGGCTTTCCTGGTATGGAAGTGTAGCTTGCATATTGGAAATGTTTCCTTGTTTTAATTTGTTTTGTTGTTGTTGTTGTTGCTATGATAAAACACTGGCCAAAAACAATTTGAGGAGAAAAGGATTTATTTCATCTTATATTTTACGGTCCATCATTGAGGAAGTCGAGCAGAAATCTGGATGCAGGAACTTAAGCAGAGCTCATGGGGGAACGCTGCTTGTTTCCTCTCACTCGTTCAGATGTTTTACTTAGCCCAGTGCTACTTGCCTAGGCATGGCCCCACCCCCAGTGGACTATGACTCCTGTGTCAATTAACAGTTAAGAAAACACCCCATGGATATGCCATGGGCCCATCAGATGGAAGCAATTCCTCAACTGAGGTGCCCTCTTCCTAGTTGGCTCCAATTTGTGTCAACCTGACAAAAACTAACCAGCACAGGCCTGATAGAACTCACTTTCCTCAGAGACAGGATCAAACTCAGGGGTCCCTCTGTCCCTCTGTCCCTCTGTCCCCCCCTCTCTGTGTGTGTGTGTGTGTGTGTGTGTGTGTGTGTGTGTGTGTGTGTGAGACTGCATGTGTATGGATATTTCCATCTTTTAAAATGTCGCTTTGGACAGTTCTAGAGAATTTTAGTGCTTGTGTGCAGACATATTGAGAACGGAAGTGCTGCAGTCCACATAGCTGTACTTCTGCTCTGTCAATGGGGAAGTTGATATTAGTCCTCCATAGTTGATGATGCAATCCTGTTGACGCAGCCTTATCATTCTGACCATCAACTTAGCTGACTAGGTTTTAGTAATTAATTTGGTTGAGCATGTTCTTAAACAATGCAGGGCTAGACATTAAATCAGAGGATTTGAGGGTTGTGAAATAGTTCAGTATTATGTAATCCACAGTAAGAGTGAGTGTTTCTTAACTTCCTGTAGATGTTAGCTCTACAGAAAGTTAACCACATGGACATCTGCTTTAGACGCCGTAGCCTTGCCGTGGTAGTAAGGGGCAAGAATTGAGTATGACTCAACAGTTAAGGTTCTTTCAAAAGTGGAAATCGGTGTTGTAATCAGGTTTGTAATAAAAGACTGGGTTGAGGCTGACGGCACCCCAAGTCACTGAAGCATGAAAACCACGTGGCAAAGCCCTGCAGCAAGAGATGAAAACTCCAGATCTTGGCTCACTACCACCACACTTGGTTACAGTTCTCCTTTGCAACAATGTGCAGGGCACATGGGAGGCATCTGAGATCCTCAAAGAAAGTGGAAAGGCAACAATGAAGCCCTGTCAGCAAGGACTCAGGTGGTGTGGAAGTGAACTCAGTGCTTCATCGGAACACTGGCCAGAAGCCTCCCGGGCGAGCCTAGGCGGTGTCAGAGTGATGTGAGCTTGTGCAGACGGCTGAGAGCCGTGGGAATAGTGAGATAAAGCCCACCAGACTCCTTGCACTTCTAGCTTTTCAGTGCCTCTACGTCCAGACCACCAGCCCCTTAACAGTTTCTGGATAAACTCAGCACAAACGTGTGGGGAAATCACTGATGCTCCTTGATGTTTTCACTCATTGAACTCTTATAGTCCTCCTAGCTCTTATTTCCATAGAAGAATTAAAGATAGAACTTGATGATTTTAAACAATTTCACTCTTTTGTAGGAACTACAGAAGATATGCTTTACAAAAACTATAAGTTACAGGAAACTTGAAGCCCAGAGCGTTATGGAAAATCTTAAGCATGTATAGGAATTGTTTAAAATTAGTTCCTGAACTTAAAATCCAGCAGAATATCCAAGTGTATAAAGGAGATGCTGTTACTGAGATAATGCTGGGTCTGCAGAGATGGGCAGAAATGATTTTATTCTTAGGTTTTAAGCTAGACACAATTTGCACATCAGTTTTAAAATAGGAAAGTCCACATGTGGAGATCGATTGTTACACATCAGGATTAAAATCACAAAGCCTCTATTATTGGTAATTGCCTCATCTATAAAAATGTTTGAAGAGCATTGAAGTCAGCTAGTTATTTAAAGTTTTAAATATTAATTTCAACATGAATCTGACAGGGGAAGAAAACCCAGCAAGTCTTTGAGCAGTTTGCTTATGTTTCTTCTGCAGAAAGAGCCTCGGCTGCCTAGCCAATTCATGTATGGTCATTTCATAAGTTACCTGCTTGATTCTGGCCAGCTAACACTTAC